ATTTGACATGTATTGGGTTGTCGGAAAAGTCATGACGCATTTTTGCAACGAAAAACAGAAAAAATACATCATGACTTTTCCGACAACCCAATTTAAGCATATTTATGGAGACCAGGAGAGAATATTTGAAGTTGACAGTTTAAGATCACTACATAGCTCTACCTACTGTTCTCACAAAAGATAGAATATCCTTTATCTAAGAAGGGTGGCTGACCTCTCTTTTGGTGCCATGGGAGTCGCTTTGTGGCTTAGTTGGTACTTGCTCATCTGATACCTACATGAGCTTTGCTTATTGTGGCTATATGTCTTCTCTTACCAATTAGATGGTAAGTTCATTGAGGGAGAGAGATGACTTTGGTCCAGGTATTAGCTCTCCTGCTAGTTTGCTATGTGACCTTGGGTATAATTCATTTAAAAAGAAAAATGCCAAGATTCTTGTCCTCTAGGAACTTAGCCCAGTAGGAGAATGGCTGTATGTGTACATAAGTGGCTGTCCCTGTTCGGTGCCGTGGAGTCATACGGTAATTGATCATCTGTGACATAGTACTGTCAGCATGAACAAGACTTTCAGAGCTTCACCTCCTCACATCCTAGTGAGAGCAGCACAGTGTTAGGACAAGCAGAAAAGCCTCTACCCACAGACAGTCCTCATCTCAGCCAAATGTGAAAAAATATCAAGAAACATTGGTCCTGTGCATTATTGGAAACTGGTTTTGTTCAGGAAATGTATTGAATGCCAACTGTACTTCAGGCTCTGGAACCCAGTCATCGTACAGGCTGATCGGAGGGGCCCTTCTCTAGCCTGTTTTTATTCCTTGGCTGTCATTCTAATCTTTTTCTTGCCCCCACCCCGTGGACGTGGAGGGGCTGTGGAGTGGGCTTACCATCCCCCAAGCAGGGGACTGACATCTTCCCACTGACAGAACTGGGAGTTTCCCCTGAGTGCTCTGTTCTTATTTCCGAAAAGCCAAGAGGCCAGAGGCAAATTCCAGTCGCCATTTCTCTGCAGTGCAGCATTGCCATAAACTAAACTAGTGGTTCGTTTCTAGTTCCTTTGCCACCTGATTGGTATCAAGACTAAGCATTAGACATGTTCTTAAGGAAACTGAAGTAAAGAACAATGGACTATGTTGTTCATTCACAAAGTATTTATCCAAAAGGACAAGGTAAAGATGATTCAAGCTGACCCAGTCCTTTGTTTATATCAGTGGCATTTCATCAGAGATAGTTCACAGAGGGGAAAGAACCGTGGGGCTTTGGCATTCGTCCATCACTGGCCTCTGGATGCTGGCGCTCTCAGTGCTGGGTGTGAATCTCTGTGAGTCTCTGTTTCCTCATCTTTCAGATTATGAGGACTAATAACCCTTAACTTGAAGGCTAGCGGTGAGATTTCGCTAACTGTGTCCTTCACGGGACCACCCCTAATTAATCACTATTATTTTTCGGTTTTGACTCAGTCAGACTTTAAATTTAGAGGCACGGATGTGTAGAATATTCTCAGGGCTTGGTTCCTCTGGCTAGGTGCTTTTTTCAATTCAGCTTGCTAAATGAGTGTCCCCCAAAGACGATGGATGTTGGGGTGGTGTCTCTTTCTTCTCTCCAAGGACCTGCTGCTGAGAGGGCTCCAGTGACTCCCTAATGAGTGACAGGTTTCTGACTGTGGACAGAGACATCTGGCAGGGCACTCAGAAGAATGGCATTTCCATCTGACATGTGCCCAATAGCCCTTCAGATGTGGGGTGCTGGTTCTATCAGCAGTCTGGCCCAGCTCTTGGCACGCACCACAAGGTCTGCTGTCCTTACTGAGAAAGTTTAGAATCCGTTTGTGCAGGAATTCTTACCTAATTTTATGACACCCTACAGAGGCTTCAGTTATTTCAAGGAGGGATTTTGACATTTTGTAAACCAGAGTTTGTTTAAATGAGAGGGAGAGAGAGGGAGAGCATGGAGAGAGAGAGAGAGAATGAATTCATGTCACTCAGCCAGGAGAGTTAACACTATTGCTAAAGCTCACTCTCCATTTCCACATTTGTAAGTTGAAGTGCTGAACTAGATCTTAGACTCCTCAAGGTAAGAGGACTGTGAGCAGTTGTCTAATTTAAGTCTTCCATCTGATGGCAGAATCTCCTTGACAGTGAGTCTGGCCGGTAGGTTGCAGCCTCTGCTTTGAATACTTAAAAGAGCTGGGGTGGTTTTGTTTTTTCAATTTCCCTTTATATTAGCCAAACTTGCCTCTCAGTCTTTTCCCCTTATCTCTCCCAACGTGACCCTTTGGGATCATACAAAGTAACCTCTCTTTCCAGGAGATAATCCTATAGCTATTTGAAATAGCTGTCGTAGTGTCCCAGTCCTCCCTTCCTCCAAAGCCCTTGCTCATAAACGTTATTGAGATATTTGCTCCAAAATTACTCAATCCCTTTATTTTGAAGCTCACTTGAGGAAAACATGCTCTAAACAAATGGTAAATTTCCTAAAACCACAGAAATACAATTGAAATTGTGGTCTTTGTTAAAATATCTACTAAAGAGGAGGGTAACCACATCGGATGAAGGTAAATGGACCCAGGTACATCTCCAACAATTCGGCGTCATTTCCAAGTTAATTAGACCAATTTAGGAGGGCAGATGTGCTTATCAATGTGTACAACTATAAATTTAAAAGTATTTAGGGGTCTCTGCATAAATTCCACTAAATGGGACAACTAACTAGCTTCTAGATTGGGGTCAGCCATTCCCTTTCCTTATCCTGCCCATCATTCCTTCTGGTACCCTTCATATGGAAACAAATCACTTCCTGTTTAGTCTGAGATTCTTTGAGGACTTCCTGTGCAAACAACTGGCAAAAAAAGAACAGCTGAGAATGAAATGTGTACGAAAGAAGGAACAGGCCCATTTCTGGGCTGTTGGCTGGCATTACCTGCAATGACAAGGCAAAGGCAAAGACAATGTAGTCTTCACACAGCCTGCCAGCGGCTAAGTGATTCAGCATGGAGGACTGTAATGCACTGTGAAAGGGTGCTGGGTCCCAGAGCAGAGCCATGCACTCCACAAAGCCTGGCCCTCGCCCTGGCCCCTGTTCAGAAGACCAGTGACACAGCCTCTCAGGCTGTGGGGAGTGGCTTCTGCTATCTCCCCTTATGACTGACTGCCTGAGGCAAACAGGCTTTGACTTCAGACTTTTTATAAAGAAGTAAGGAAAAGCAAATTAATGATTTATGATGTATCTTTACATGAAATAACTTAACCAATCTGGACTCTCTCCCTAACATCTTCTGCTTATATGAAGTAACATAAAGAATTGAAGCTTTGAAATCTAACAGACCTGGGTTTGAACCCTGACAGACAAGTTCTATGACTTAGATTAAGTGACTTAGCATCTCAGGGACAGCACCCTGCTACAGGTGGTTGTGAGGGTGAAGTCACTCAATAATGTGAGCTCTTACTGATGGAAAGAGAGGTTGAGTGCTTCTATTGTCACACATGGTTGCAACCAGATATCAGTGAGTCAAGCAGTGCTGTCTGTCCATTACCGTTTAAACTATTAGCTGTAGAATATGAATATACAAAGAAGATCATCTGGAGTTCACTGACATTCTTACCAACCCCAATCCTGTAGGATTTGCCTGTCAAAAAACTAACACAACAGCACCGTTCTTCAATAAAACTGAGGCTTCCAAATCAACTGGTGTTAAGGAATAAAAAATGGAACTTTAAGAGATGCTGCAAGGGAGTTATTTCTAATCACCGGAAGGCCTTCCAACCATAGTTCTAGTAACTAGACAATAAATTTTAATCTTATACTTTCTCCACCTTCTCAATACTAGAACAAGACTATGAGGTGTCTTCTAACATTCTAAGTTAGCTAGAAAATGTAGCCTCCATCAATTGAATACTTACTATGTAGCAGATACTTGCTTAAGTTCTTTACATGCATTGGAGTCACACACACAGAGTCACAACAGATCTGTGGGTGGAGGTGGCAAGAACTCCATTTTGCAGATGATGAAAGCCGAGTCCTAGAAAAACTTGGTTACTTGCCCAAGTCAGTACTGTCTGACTGCAAAACCTGTGCTCTTAACCACTGTGGTTCCATTCCCTTCTGCAAGTTCTTGGAATCAGCCAACTGAATAAGTGGATGATTAAATAAGCGATTAAGGGTGCAGTTCAGTCTGGATAACTTCTAATGGTAATGAAGACCCACTAACATAGAATACCAGGGTCTTTGGAGACAGACCCTTCTTGGTTTGAATCCCAGTACTATCACTTACTAGTTGTGTCATTTAGGCACGTGACATTTTTCCTTGGTAAAATGGAATGTCATAAGGTTTAAAAGAAAGACCTGCTTGGTACATAGTAAGCTCTCAGGTAGTTGCCGCTGCTGCTGCTCCTGCTGCATGAGGAAAGTGACAGCTACGAAAGAAGACAGAGAATTGTCTTATTTGTCACACCTGATTAGTTAGTTTTATCCTTTCCTAATGCGGAAGCCATGAACCCCTGGCTAATGTACCAAAGGGAATTCTCACTTGGGGCTTTCAGCCCTAGCAGAATCAATGCCTATCTCTGACCTGGAAAGAGGAAATTATTAGTTTTCAAGTCTGTCTTTTATTCTTTGTAGAGTTTAGCCATCTTTGTAAATCATCTATTATCCATATGGGATGTTTGGAAAACTTCCTGTTTATTCCAGTGCACCTGATAAAGGGTGTATATAGTCATCTCATTGTTTTTAAATAAACATGGCTTGCCTCTTATAAACACCTTTGTTCTGATAACAGTCTCGGCTCAAGGGGTGACCGTGTGGCAGGTTGCTGTCATCTTGTGTGATATTTGGAGGCTGGAAAATATAAAATTAGTGAGATGAATAAGTGGGCCTCTTTATCCTGCTTGGAATTTTTCCAGCAGTTTCCATACCACTGTGAGCTCCCCTCTGGAAGCCTTCCTGATGTTTCAGTGCATGTTGAGAATCACTTTGTTTTTGTGCTTTCTTTTTTCTTTCCTGGACAGAAACCAAAGCCCAAGCCCCGGCCATCCATCACGAAGGCAACCTGGGAGAGTAACTATTTTGGGGTCCCCTTAACAACCGTTGTGACTCCAGAGAAGCCGATCCCTGTTTTCATTGAGAGATGTATTGAATACATTGAAGCCACAGGTAAGTGTGTTCCCTCAGAGCCAATTACAGCTTTCACTGTCTACAGGATGCTTTCCAGAGGGCTAAGCCATCTGGAAGCAGCTCTTGTTTTAGTGTGAGATGCTTTCTGAGAAGGAGCTGAGCAGTCCCGACAGCTGTCATCCTCCCTCCATCTCCATGCAGTTGTGCGAGGTCTGTTAGAGCGCTCAGAACATCCTGTTTTCAGGGCTGCAGTCATGGCTGCTCTAGGCACCTCTCTTGTGCCCCCCGCCCCCAGTCCCCTGTCTTAGCTTGGAGCCTATCTCTCTGTGTCAGCTTCTTGAGTGTAGGGAAAGGGTTTTATTTATCACTGTGTCCTCAGCACCAGACCGGGCACAAATGGTAATACATTGTGGTTTAATAAAATGAGCAACTAGTTGTGACTGTTACAGCCCTTGGCCATAGATAGCTGCCTGAGATTCATGTACTGGTAGACTTTTTTCCTGAGGTAAAAAACCAGCTAGGATGCTTGAACATCTATCGTCTGGTCAAGCAGCTGCATTTCAACTGCCCTGACAACTTGATGTTATCTCAGAGGCCAACTAAAAAGTTTCTGCATTGTTCTTGAAGTGACAAGATTTTATCTGTGTTAAAACATTTCATTCATTCAGAGCTCCCATAACTGTGTCTTTGGCCTCTTTTGAAAACCCCTGGAGCTTCCAGTTTCACTCCATTGTTTCCCTTGATCTTCTCCTGGATGCTTTCAAAGCTGATGAGCTTTGAGGAGAAGCAGGAATGGGGGCACAGGGTTATGTGGATTCTTGAACATTAATAGTTGACCTCCAGAATACAGGCTTAAACTGATTCAAAACCAAGGTGGGGATTAGAGCCTCCTTATGTGTTCTTCCCTGATTCCGGTGTTGTCTGTAGTGTTGTTAAGTATTGTGTGGTAGGGACAGTCTGCCAGGCTGTGCTGACAATTTCAGCAGTGTCATGTTTAGCTGAGTGACTGGTGGTAATATTTCCTTAGGCTGTGGGGACTCAGGGAAACTAGGTTTCAAGTTAAAGCCCGCTAAAGACTCTCATTATTTCCAGGGTTTTCTCTGCAGCACACCAGACTTGAATCTCAGCAAGCACTTTGCATAATCATAGCAGATCTGTAGCTTTGTTTAGTCCATTCTGTACCCAAAGCCTTTGCCGAGTATCCCTCTTTTGGACACCGGTGTTGTATCAGTTTCTTCCTGACAGCTCTCCCTTGGGCCAGGAGGAAATCTACACAAAGCAAATTCAAGTGATTGAACCCTTCCTTCTTGTTGACCTAACAAGAAGAGATAGTTTGTGTCATGGGGCGGGGGAGGGGTGTTTTTTTCCCTCAATTATTTTATTTTGAACTTGTTTCGGATTTATAGGGAAGTTACAAAAAGTATTATAAGTTGTAACAAATTGAAAGTTACAAAAGTCCCCTGGTTCCCCTAAGTTTTAACATTTTACCACATTCCCCTATTATTCTTTCTCTCTATAAATATATCTTTTTTTCTGTAACGTTTTAAAGTTGCAGATATGAAGAACCTTTACTGCTAAATACTTCAGTGTCTGTTTCCTAAAAACATTCTCTTAACATAACCACCATGCAATTTTCAAAATTAGGATATTAGCATTGATCCATTACTAGCCTATGTAACATGTAGACATTTTCATTTCATTAGTTGCCCCATTAATGTCTTTTATAGCAAAAGACAAAATTTTTTTTGGTCCAGCACTAATCGCAGACCATATATTACATTTAGTTGCCAGGTCTTGTCTTTAATCTAGAACCATTCAATCTGTTTTTGCATGTCCTCAATAGTTAAAGAGTACAGATCACTTATTTTGTAGGATGTCCCTCACCTTGGGTTTTTTTTGTTTCCTCATGATAAGATTCAGGTTAGCATTCTTGGCAGAAACAGCAGAAAAGTGATGCTGTGTCCTTCTCTGTGCATCACACCAGGTGGCATGTGATATCGATTTGTCCCTCACTGGCGATGTCCTTTGATCACTTGATTAAGGTGGTGGTGTCTGCCAAGCTTCTCCACTGTAAAGCTACTCTTTGCCCCTTTGTAATGATAAGTATTTTGTAGGGAGAAGCTTTGAGACTAAATATCTAGTTTCTCCTAATATTCTCACCCACTGGCTTTAGCATCCATTGATGATTCTTGCCTGAGACAGTGATCACCATAATTTTTCTAACTCTGATTCCTTCTGCATTTGTTAGTTTGGGATTCTCCTGTCTGGGAGAGCTGTTCCTTCTCAGGGAAGCCTTTTGTGAGTGGCCTACTGCAGCAACTCACCTGTGGTGGCCCCAGCGCCTGAATGTTACCCACATGCCCTCTAGCTGAGCAAATCAGTGGTCCTGACCTATCCTGCCTGCATTGCTTCTCTCACTCTTAGACTGTGAGTAGCTTTTTTTTACACCCAGTGACAAAATTATACCTCTCCTTGTTCTTCTACTTGTGAACCCTTTCAGGTATGAAGACCTCTTCAACCCTGCCCCCAGTCCACTACCAGCCACTATCCAGCTGCTGCTTCTCTCAGAGCTCTTTCAGATTGCACCACTGTCCTTGTCACCAAGAGCTTAGAGCCTGAGGGTCATCTCTGACTCATCTGATCAATTCCCAAGTCTCTCGTTTCTACTTTGTCATGTCTTGGCTCTGTCCCCTCCACTTCATTTCTGCTGCGCCACCATCACCCTCCTTCTCAATCCATCCAGATTATGTGACAGTTCCTCTAAAAACCTCTTCTTGCTTCCTCTCTGCCAGACACCAGCTACACCTCCCTCTCATGTTGTGCTGCGGTTGTCTGCCCACCTTCCTCTCTCCCTTCCCTTCGTTCTTCCTTTTCTCCCCCACCTCCTTCTTTCTGTTGTGTACTATGGCAGGCATTTACTTTAAAATTGTTTCACAAATACAGACAGTATATTAGAAGGACATAGACCAAGCAGAATTTCTTTGTATTTCTCTGCTTCGCGTATGCCCTTGCTGTGGTTTGAAATGTGTCCCAATTCCTCCTGCCTCTGGAACGTGTCTTCATTCTTCAAGACTCCCCATCCCAGGAGCACTTTGAATGTCACCTCCCTGGAAGTTCGTTTCAGGCACATTTCATCTGCCTGAGAACAGAATTCTCTGTTTTCCTGTCTCCCCAGAGCCTGGCACCCAATATACATGAGTGAATGAGTGGTTTTCAACCTGCAATTGCTTAACTTTATTATTTTCTTCTTTCTTTGTCCTTTTAAAATTTGGTTTTGTACTTCCCCTCATTGGCATTAGTCTGTATACTTTTATAGAATTTCAGGAAAAAAATTAAACCTGGTATTAGTGTGTGTGTTGAGGAGTTGTCTTTGTGTTACCTATTTCCTGAAAGAACTTTTTTCCTCTTCAGAAAATTAAAGCATGTTCATTGTAGAAATTCAACAAATGGCAAAACCTATGAAAAAGAATTTAAAGATTCATTGACCTTCCACTTAGTGAAAACAACTGTTAGTGGTTTGATATATTTCCTTATAGTCTTATTTCTCTGCATATGTGTATAGATTTTTACTTCTACATAATTCAAAATAAGTGGTGTGATCTGTCTCAAAATTTTTTGAGCATAACTCACTTAGATGAGACAACAAAAGCCCTGAGTTCACCAATTTACTCCTGTTTTCCTGCAAAAAAAAATTTCAGTAACTAAGAGTTGGGTCGGAGGACCATTTTTTGAGAACCATTGTTTTCTAAATCAGACATCATTTTGTGAGCATGATCCCATCATCAGATACTCTGAAAATATCAGTTTTAATTGCTGCCTCTTGTTCCATTACATGGCTATGTCACAGATTATTTAACTATTCCCCTGTTGTTGGGCCCCTGTAGATTTTCTCTGGATGTCCATAAAATAAAGAAGCAGATTAACTGGAGAGGCGTTTTGGAATAGTGATGGAGAGCTTCAGGTCTGGTTAGACCGGGGTTTGGATCTTTGTTCTGCCATTTGCTCATCTGTAAGCTGAGGGTGGTGACAGGACCTGCCTCCCAGGGCCCCTGTGAGGGTGCAGGGAGACTGGGTGAGGCGCCCGGGAGCACTCAGTGCTGCTAGGCATCTGCTGTCACCGCTGTAGCTTTGCCCGCAGTGCGTTAGCCTTCCTTTCTATTGCCGGTCTGACTTGACCACGAAACATAAATATCCATGGCTTTTGTTCTTTCCTCCCCAACTTTTAAATTTGCAAATGGTAAAACCCATTGAAAAGTTGAAAGGGTAATACAGTGATTGCCCAGTATTCACCAGTGGTTGACATTCTGCCACTTGTGCCCTTTCTTCCCCTGAGTTTTATAGTTGTTGAACCATTTGAAAGCTGCATATACCATGTCACTTCACTCCTAAAACTCTCAGTGTATGTCCCTAAGTTTGGACTTTCTCCTCCATAACTGCAATAACATTATCACTTTTGAGAAGATTAACATTAACTCAATAGTATTTCATATATAGTCTATGTTTAAATTTACTCAGTTGATTTAAAACTGCCTCTTAGAGCTGAATTATTTTGTTCTAAAGCCCCATCAGTATTCACAGTGCATTTGGCTATTGCCTCTCTGTCTCTTTTAGTTCAAAACAGTTCTCTCAGCCTTTTTTTTTTTTAAATGATGACCTTTTTTGAAAAGTCTAGACAGTTGTCTTGTAGAATGTCCCCTTGTGTAGTGTCCTGTCTGCACCTCTCCGTTGTCCTCAGCCCCTTTTAATACCACCCATAGCTACCTCATCATATGTGTCCTGTTTGAGCAGAGGGCAGGGACAGAAGACCCGGTGTCCCTCCCTGGACAGAGCCCACTTCTGAATTGAGCAGGGTGCTCTACAGCATTTCATTGAATGATTGAATGAATTGTGGATTAGGTGTTTTTCCCAGACCTGACTGACTTATACTGGACTTGCACTTTTCTTAGGAAAAGCCTGTGCTGCCACCTGACCTGCCCGTCCCATCTCTCTCTCTCTTACTCGTGATAAAAATTGCCATTGACCCCAGTTCCCACATGGTA